ATCTATTCCTCTATCATACATCATATCGCATACTTCATCCATTTTATCATTCATTGCCCCACATACATTCAACGTAGCCAGACGGGCCTCTGCAATCCACTTTTCGCCTCTCCGGGAGACAGAACGTGACGGGTGGCGAACCTCGTCGCCGGTCTGTGTCTGGCTAAATAGTGTAATCTTTTTGCCCTTGGTGTTAAGTATTCCGCTTTAAAAATGAACTTGGAGGATCCTTTTATATTTAAAAGTTCAGTGTTTAGGCGTTGAGTTTTATTGTTTATATTGTACAATCTGGCAGACCGTATAAAATTTTCCTTTAGAGTTGGCTTCATAAAGTCAATTATTATTGGGCTAAATTCCTTATTTTTAGCCTTTTGCCGAAAAACATCTTTTATGTCCGTGTCGAGGATGTTCATATTAATAATTTCTCCCAATTTCTTGACCAAGGAAATAAGTTCATTTTTATTTTCATAATGGGTTCGTGGAATATATTTTATTTCTGCCATTGTGGATCTCGCATTACGTTCCAAAAGTTCAATTTTCTGCTCAAGAGAGTTTGAGACATGTTTTCAAACTATTTTCTTCTTTGATATGTTCTAATTCCTTTAAAACATCGTCATACTTTGCAGATAGGAATGAAATGGACTCACGAATTTCGACGTTTTGCTGCTTGATCTCATTAATTGATGTGATTAAAGTTTCAATCTTTTGGTTCTGTTGTTTATTAAAATCATTAAACATACGGCGCAATTCCTGCATTAACGACGATTCTTCACTCGGCTCAGGAATCTTTCTTTTTTTGTCTTCTCGTCAAAGTGCTACATTCATTATCACTTTCCATAAGAATATTAAAATTAGGATCCGATCCGAGTAGCTGTATTCGGGTTTTATTACCAGATAAATTTAATGTATTTGGTGGAGTACGCTGTGTTGACATTATATTATGTGGGTATAAAATACTTAAGCAGGCTGACGGTAACTATCTTCGCAGTTAGGGCGGAGTCAATGTTGCGTCAGTTTGTATCGATATCCTTGTTTAACTGTTATGTCCTACTCACGCCTCGTCACTGCAGTTAACGTTCAACGCACTCTTTATGCACTGCGTTCCTAGTAGCTCGATGTATTTAACTAATACGACGTTGAAAAATATTATTTTTAAATTCAAGTAAAATATAAGAAACACGTCCGATGTCCACCGAAGCCCGAGGGGGAAGGATATTAATAAATGAATATTACAATTAGGCATACCATACGTTACGTTTTTCAATTTTTTTTATTAATTTTTGTTTCTCTTTTATCAAATAATTATGTTCTAGTGGCAATTTTTGAGATCAATATTGCATTGTACTACACATGATTATTATAATTATGTAGGTAATCTTCCAAAATAAACCTTTAAAATACTATAGGCAACAATTTTGGGATTTGTTCAAATCACTAGATTTCTTTAGTGGGATTTGTCACATCACCAGATTTTCTTAGGGAAATGATAAAATTCGTGTTATTATTTTAACATCCTTCGTGATTTGATCAAATCCCTTAGGGGTTTGGCCAAATCCCTTTTTATCATATCCCTTCGACATATATACTACACATTTACATTACTTAATAAGGATTTATACTTTTATTATGTTGGCGACATTTAACACTTTTGTGTAAGTTCATCCTATGCTGTAAGTATGTTCAAATTGTTCATGGCTCTGTTTTTCAATTTGTAGTAAAGAGAAGACTGTCAATAGGTTTCTTAAACGCTGGCTCCCTAGGCACCAGCTATGATGAGTTTTTCGTAGTAATGTCACGATATCAGGTAGACGTAATGGCTATCAACGAAACGTGGATAAGAGAGGGCGAAGAGGGCCGTGCACCGTCACCGCCGTGATATCGGTTCCATCACGTAACGCGTCCCACCGAATTGCGTGCACGTGGTGGTGGAGTTGGATTTTAGGTTAGGAACCCTTCTAGCAACTTAGTAGAACAAATGTGGCTAGGATTAAGTATTGACGGCATCATAGTAGCGATTGGTATGGCCTATCGTGACCCGTGGGTAAATGTCGATAGTTTTATTGATGCCCTCAAGGAATCCGTTTCTTCTTTTGGTCCATCCTGCAATGAAAGTAGATACGTAATATATATATCCGGCATTCAATGGGTTGCGTACGTTTATAGTGCTCGTGAATACGGCATCATGTTAATGTGCCTTGGAGAATCTCGCGGGAATGCTTCGCGTGTATTAAGAATTTACAATTTACAATTTTATAACGTATCGCTAAATTGTTAAGGTGTCGGGATGGAACAAGTGTGTTTATACTGAAGAGTTCATAAGGTGTAAACGCGTAAGCCGAGCACCAAACCCGATAGTTGGTTAACGTATGGGCAGGTTTATTTACGGATTTAGATCGGTAAGCTGTTTCATACCTAATTTTTTAAACAACTTAGTACTGAACTGATTTGAATAGGTTCATAACTGAATACATCAGAATAATAAACATACCTACTAAATAATTTAAGTAAATTTTTCATAACCAGACAATCGAACCAGGTATTTTACTTAACCTGTGACTTCGAGTTAAAGTGGCTAGGTGGAGACTAGCACAGTGGCATAATAGTAATAAGTAAATAAGTTAGGTATTTAGACAAATGTTGTAAGTTATTATGTATTGGTACGATCGCGGGCTGCGTGCCGCGCACACTTGAGTAGATAAATTACTTATGAGCCGCGCGTGTTTGGCATCGCGCGTAATTGACCCTATCAGCTGATGTTCGGTATTTGAAGTTCCACTGCTGGTTTTATATTTAAGTATTTTCATGATTTTTTTAATGAAAATATCGTTTCATTTATCTGTACTAACATGATAGAGCGTGGACAAAGCTAAATAAACGTTGTAACGTTGTTTTTATTTTCATTGGAATCAATTTTATTTTCGTCCCATCACCAAAGGTATTCTTAGAATTACAGATGATACTGTATATTCCGCAAAATGTTACGGATTCAAAGTTATACAAAATTTTCCAAAATATCTAAATATCTGTACCTTGAATCAGATTTTTAAGCATTTCGTAATGAAAAATTCCTTTCCTACTATTTTTTTACATCAATTTATTGGTGAATAGTCACTCCACTCAACGATAAATCTTTTTTCTATTAAAAACGAGAACGCGTTCACGAAATACATTTTTTAAATATTTTTCACTGAACGATTTTCTTATTGCTTAACTTTAACCCACAGTGGTGAAAAAAAAATGTATGTGACAGTTGTACAACAAACTTAAGAAATAGCTTGTTTGATGGTGGTTTCAGAAAGATACAACACTAGCGCATTTTCTTTAAAAATATGCTATGCTTGTTACAGATAAGCCGATATTATTTAAAATGCAATTAACGTAATTTTGACACAAACTAACGCGTGAGTAATATCATTGCTCAATCAAGCAAATTATTATAAAACAAGTTTTAACACCTTAAATGCGATATGCACGCATAATGGATAAAGGAGTTTACCTGCTCGCCGACCCGACCCGACTGCTTATTGTCTAACCAAAAGAAGCCAATGTGCTATATCGCAATGATATTATAAATAAAAAGAGGTAGATATCGCACTGGCGCGCAAAAATTGTTGCGAACGAATTCAGACAATTCGTCGGTCGAATCACGAAGGGGCGTATCCCACAAATATTCGATTTTTAGTTATCTCCACCATCGTAATCTATAAGGCAAGTTTTATAGCGTCACGAAAGGGCGTAATTTAAAACACACCGGAAACAGATTTACAAACAATTACGAAAAGCCCTATCTGCTATTCATCCCAATTTAAAAATCACGAATAGTCGTATCCACCAGTTACGCCTATTCTTACCTGTTCCCATGCAATTTTTTTTTCACGAAGAGGCGTAACCTATCTAACGTGATTACGCGAGTGAAACAATGACAGGTCAAGACGTGTTAAGCAGTCGAGCGAAGTTAGTTGCAAGTTAATAAGGTGCATTGTTTGTTTACGAATATTAAAATTAATAAAATTCTGTCTTCAAAGTGAATGAATACTTATTTTAAGAGTTACTTTTATTTGTGTTTTATACAAATCACAAGGTTATTTTACAGTAATGTACCTATTGCTTTTAAACGCATAGTTACCTAAAAGATGAATTAATATTTTAGGTTAAAATTTTAGAAAAGTTATTTATTTGTTATTGCAATGTTTTGTTACCTAAACCATAGTTTAAATAATATGCAAGTTACAATGTCAGTGTTTAACTATTCCTAAATGTGACAGTGTGTAATTAATTTTCTTATTTACGGTTAAATTACTCTTTACAGATACCTACTATCTACTTAACTTTCTGTGGGATGGTTTTTCAATGATGGACGTGTTAGTTACATGGAAAGATGGCACTCAAAATGTTGTACACACACGGGAATTATTTCCAATCAGAAAAGGTCAGAAGATAACACTTGGTACAAAGGTGAAAATGTTGTATGAACGAAAATGGTGGTATGGTACAGTAACTGTTGTCGAAGCAAAAGAATACTCTTCGTCTGAAGACGAACCACTTTCAACTTATGTTCCTGCAAACCGTGTGCAAAATTGCTGCGAGTACATTAACTGTCATAATCCTATTTTGACTACTTGTACGGAATGTGCTTGTTTCTTGTGCGCTGAACATTACCAAGAAGACGCTTCCTGCTCTAATCATATTTTAGTTAGCAATAACATATCCACATCAAAAAATCAGAATACCAGCTATGAATTATCATTAACCAATTCAGAAAAAAAATTTATGATACAGTATGCACTGATGAAAATTATATAGATATACAGAATGAATACCAAAAATGCTGTCAGTTTTCGATTTGTACTGATGAGGTATTTAGTGCATGCCATCGTTGTTCATGTCTCCTTTGTTATGAACATTTTGTCAACAATTGCTCTACCTGCGAAAATCATCTAAACTTTGAAGCTGACTTGACGTTAACAGAAACTTTAAAATTTGATTTTGGGCAAACTGATATGCAGCAGACTTGTGAATATGCCAACTGCACTAACCCTGTACTAACGACATGCTTTGCTTGTTCTTGTTTACTGTGTGATATTCATTTTGCGTCTGTGCTTTATATGCAATCATGTTCTGATCATAAAAAAAATCCAGCCTCGCTTGCTGATTTCGATATTACCGAAATTGAGAATGTTTCAAATGATTCTGATGCAACTATGGTCTTATCTGACACTCGCGACTCACCCAGTATTTTAATGCAGAATACAGTTTTGGAACCACAACAAGACAGTTATTTGGCCCCAGAAGACTTTATAGTAGATGGCGTTTCCCGAGAGGAAGAAAGATCGAAACCTGTTAGAAAAAATAAATACAAAGAAGCCAAGGTTTTGCGACACGCAGGACAAGAATATATTTCGCCATATACAAAAAAAGTAGTTCCTGGAAGGAAGGTTGGTTCATTATGCAATAATTTAGAAAATTGCACAAAGCAAGGCCTGTACTGTTATCGTTTTAATGAACAAATACGCGAAAATATATTTATGGATTTCTATTCATTAGCAGATCTAACTTTGCAAAGAGAATATATAGTGAGATTTGTTGAAAAAAAGCCCGTAGGACGCAAAACTACTGCCACAGAATCTCGTCGGAAGTTTACCAACTGCTTTTACTTACCATTAAATGACGAGAAGCAGAAGGTATGCAAGAAAATGTTCCTCAATACTTTGGGAATTTCAGAAAAGACGTTTCGCACAGCTTTGCAAAAATTAAAGAACACCGGTGTAGTAGAAAAAGACAGAAGAGGAGGAAGGCAAGAGGTCTATCATGAAAGGGATACTCAGCTGCGATCACTCATTACTGAACATATTAACAGATTTCCGCGTGTTGAGTCTCATTATTGTAGAAAAAGTAGTACAAAAGAATATCTCCACCATGATTTATCTTTGAAAAAAAATATATGGTATGTTTTTAAAGGAGTATAACCAACCCGTAAGTATGACACTTTATAGAAATGTATTCAAAGGCATGAATTTATCGTTCCATAAACCAAAAAAAGACCAATGCAGTTTATGCATGACATACAGAGAAGGTACAAGCGAGGTGAAAGAGAAGCTGCAGAATAAATATGATGCACATATTATAGAAAAAGAAGAAGTACGACGAATTAAAAACGAATGCAAGAATCGAGCAATACAAAATATAACCACTTGTTGTGCTTCGTTCGATTTACAGCAAGTCATCTATTTGCCACAATCCAATGAAAGTGCTCTTTTTTATAAAAGACGTTTGGCTAATTATAATTTCACAATTTATGATTTAGCCTCCAAAGACTGTATATGCAACTTATGGAATGAGACAATCAGTAGAAGAGGTGCCTCTGAAATTTCTACTTGTGTTTATTATTTCTTAACAAATTGTGATAGAAAGAGTGTGAAAGAAGTATTCTTATTTTGCGATGGCTGCTCAGGCCAGAATAAAAATTCCGTGATGGCGGCTATGCTCTTATACTTAATAAATAATTGTGAATCTATTGAAGAAATTAGTTTACGATACTTCTGTTCGTTCCATGGGCAAAGCGAGGGCGATTCTGTCCATAGCGCGATAGCATTTGCAATGGCAAAGGCTGGGAACGTCTTTGTTCCATGCCAATTGGAGCCGATCATACGATTGGCACGCAAAAATCCATACGAAGTCAAGGTACTCAATTACAATGATTTTAAGGATTTTAAAAATCTTGCCTTAAAGTTAAGGTTACTTAAATTAAAAAACGATAACCAGACAGCCGCCCTCTTTAAATGGACAGATGTTATGGAGTTAAAAGTCTCACGAAAGTCTCAAAGTAGTCTATTTTTTAAAACGAGTCACAAGGATAAAGAATACAGATCGATATCAATAAAAAGACAAGATGTTAAATGGCTGAAGGAAGAGGTGGGACATTTAAATAAATCTCATTATGAGATATCTAAAGAAAAATATAACGATTTAATTTCTATGTGCAGGGGAGAGACCCCTTTGATAAGATGCCGGGAATATCAAACTTATTATGAAATCCTACCACATCAATAAGATATTGTTCCATTACTTAATATTACAGTCTTTCTTTATTTAATAGTGTTTTAATTTATAGTCTTTTATTTCTTTTATAGTTAAGATAGCCGGACGTAAATGTTATTTTGAAATATTTGCACATGACAAAAGGGCGTAGTGAATTTTTTTTTTCAAAAAAAAAGGAAATATATCTACAAGTAACTAAAGTAAACTAATAAACTAATTTAATATCAAAAGAGGATTAGTTATCAATCCTAACGACAGTGCTGTAAACTGCGTAGTAGTTTTACATATAAAGTTACGACGGTGCATCACGGTGGACTTTATTGAAAATCGCTCTACTGTAAAATTGACTAAAATCACTTACGCCCCTTCGTCATTCGACCGACGAATTGTCGTAATTTGTTTTAGTCGGCTAATAGCAGCGAGCGAAACGAAGCGTGTCTGTGTCGTGCCTATATCTACCTAAATGGCCAAGTAGTGTGTTAAGAAAGTGTAAAAACTATGGTTCCAAGAAAAATAAGAGTGTAGGAGTTTCATACCATACGTAAGTATATTAAAATAATGTCATATTTATATATTTTTTTTTCACGATTTTATTTCTCATTTACAAAATACATTTCGAATTATTAATATGGTGGTTCGAAAAGGACAGTGAATATGATGACAACTGCAGCGCGACAAGGACGAATAGCCATGCGTCATAGATTAATCAACCAGAAGCGAAATCGTAGGCAGAATACACAGCGTTCGTTGACCGCTTGAGTTTGTTTGTTTAGTTTGTTAGCGTCTTTCTAATAATAATATTAAGATGATATAGAATTAAATTAGTAATAGCAGACTATTCAATATTATTTTATTACTCGATTAGACGGTATACCTTAGATAAAACATTTATTTTTTATTATGTTTTTGTTATCTTTCAGATGATTTTATAAAACATAAATGGGTCAGCATAGTACAAGCGGAAAGAAGTGAATATAACTGGATGCCTACAAAAAGGAGTACAATTTGTTCTGAACATTTTAAAATGAAGAGAGAAAAACTGCAGTACCTGTGATTGTGTGTGATGAAAATTAATTTTATGATTTTTATTTACGATAGTTCATTATTTCCACAACAAGAAAAAAATGGACATAACTTATGTAATTACGTGATCCGTGCATTCAATCTTGGTCAATTAATTACAAATATCATTTATAATTACCATATCAATTAAGAGAATTTATTCTATTTCAGGACAATGATGATGTTCCACAATTTCGCTTACCTACCAGTCTGGACCATGTTGATATATCCGACACGGATTCAGTGTTCGACACCCCCAGAAAAGCAAAGCTTAGGACGCGAGTTCGTAAATTAGCTGTTAAAAAAAAATGTTACAGAAAAAAATAATGCTCTTAAAATCCAAAACAGGAGATTAAAAAAAATAACAAGCATGAAAAACATTTTAAAGGATTTGAAAAAAAAGAACTATCTCACGGAACAGCACTTTTCAGATCTTAACCAAAAAGCAGAACCAGAAGAATTGCAAATAAAAAAGTCTAATAAAAATTTTAGGAAGAAATACCCAGCAGCGCTTCGCAAATTTGCGTTAACTTTAAATTACTACTCCTCAGCGGCGTATAAATACGTTAGGCGGGTATTCCATACTGCCCTGCCTCATCCCCGTGTTTTGACTAAATGATACCAAATTAGTTCAATGTTGCCAGGTTTCACAAAACAAGCATTTGATATTTTAAAACAAAAAAAGTAATTTATCTAGAAAGAAAATTATTTGTGGCCTGATTGTAGACAAAATGGCTCTTAGACATCAAACTCAATGGACAGGCAAAAATACAGAGGGATTAGTACCTAGTGATACCTACTAAATAATTTAAGTAAATTTTTCATAACCGGACAATCGAACCAGGTATTTTACTTAACCTGTGATTTCGAATTAAAGTGGCTAGGTGGATACTAGCACAGTGGCATAATAGTAATAAGTAAATAAGTTAGGTATTTAGACAAATGTTGTAAGTTATTAGGTATTGGTACGATCGCGGACTGCGTGCCGCGCACACTTGTGTAGATAAATTACTTACGAGCCGCGCGTGTTTGGCATCGCGCGTAATTGACCCTATCAGCTGATGTTCGGTATTTGAAGTTCCACTGCTGGTTTTATATTTAAGTATTTTCTATTCTAAATACGTTAGGCGGGTATTCCATACTGCCCTGCCTCATCCCCGTGTTTTGACTAAATGATACCAAATTAGTTCAATGTTGCCAGGTTTCACAAAACAAGCATTTGATATTTTAAAACAAAAAAGTAATTTATCTAGAAAGAAAATTATTTGTGGCCTGATTGTAGACGAAATGGCTCTTAGACATCAAACTCAATGGACAGGCAAAAATACAGAGTGTATTAGTAAATTATGGTTCTGGAGCTTCGGAAAACAAAGAAATTACAACAGAAGCATTAGTTTTTATTTTAGTATGTTTAAGTGAAAACTGGAAAATTCCTGTAGCTTACTTTTTTATCATCAGAGACGAGGGCTACTTTAATCATGGATTGTTTAAGACATAGTCATGCAGCAGGCGTTGACATAGTAAGTTTGACTTTCGATGGTTGTGCGGCTAACTTGTCTACTGCAGCGGTTCTAGGCTGTAAACTGAGCGTTATTGATAACTTAAAAACTACATTTAATCATCCTGAAACCAATAAAGAAGTTGCAGTTTTCCTAGATCCATGCCACATGATTAAATTGGTACGCAACACTTTTGAAGCGAAGTCAGTTATTTTTAATAATGAAAATAAAGAGGTAAAGTGGCAACTATTAAAAAATCTTAACAAACTGCAGACAGACCAGGGTTTAAATTTTGCCAACCGACTTACACAACGGCACTTAAATTTTCGCAATGAAATTATGAAAGTCAAGTTAGAGAAGTGTCGCAAATGCTTTGCAGCTTTGCGAAGATACACTTCGTCCATCAAATTTTAAAGATTCGGGTCCCACTAGACTTCATAATATTATTTAATGACTTGTTCGACATTTTCAATTCGAGAGCTCGTGACAAATTTGGTTTCAAAAAGCCTGTTAGTTTAGGTAATGCAAAAGAAATATTTGCTTTTCTAAAAAAAAGCTAAAAAATATATACTTGAATTGCGTATTTACAATAAAAACAGAATTACCCGACGTGGACATGTATTTATGAATATAACTAAAAAAAACTCGTGCAATGTAAATCTAAAACCGGTTTTTTAGGATTTTTGATTTGTATCGAAAGCCTTAAATATTTATATACTTCTCTTGTTCAAGATGAGAAAAGACTGAGCTACATTTCTACATATAGGTTAAGTCAAGACCACATTGAAATAATGTTCGGGGACATAGGTCGACATGGAGGGTATAATAATAACCCAAATACAATCCAATTCAAAGGAATTTATAAAAAAAATGTTCAATCATTTGGAATTACGATCTGCCTTTACAGGTAATTGTATTCCGGTAGAATATTTTCCGATACTAAATTGCTCCTCAGGAGTAAAAAACATAAATAGCACGTGCGACGGACGGGTTCTTAATGAAAATTGGGTTATGGATGAGCTTATGAACTTTGAAAGTGATAAAAAAATCGGAAGAAAACGTGTCTATTATGACAGATTTACTTAATAACGATCATCGCTCGTGTAATCTAGAACAAATAATAGGATATATTTCAGGCTGGGTATCTAGAAAACTTTGTGGAAGTTTAAAATGTGAAGAGTGTCGTTCCTCCTTATTCACGAATGAAAAATTATGGTTTCATAAACTCGTCACTCTTAAAGATATGGGTGGTTTGTGTTTTGCATCGCATGATGTTTTTTAGTGTGCTTAAAATCAGAAGATATTTTAAAGAAATTCATCATAGAAAATGGTCCCTATTTTAGAAATTCTCATGACTTTAAGCGATTACAATACAATATTTTAAAACACTTTTTGCAGTCCAATGTATTCGATATTTTGTTTGAACATTCTATGAATCAAACCCCTATATTCAATCATAGACTGCAACTAATTCGAGCTATAATACAAAAGTATCTGAATGTCAGTTTGCATCATGAGCACAAAAATAACCCATTCATTAAAAGCATGTCAAAAAGACAAAAAAGAAATAAATTAAACTTATTTGAGGTTAAATAAATAATAATGAAAATCTTAACTGCCTAACTTAGCTTTTCTTCTTTTCTATCTTGGTCTAAGTTTGTGAATAAATAATTAACAATTCTGTTTTTTGTTTTATTTAATACATCATTACCAATGTAATGTACCTATGCTTATATCCAATGTCTCATCTGTGGCAAATCCGCATACTCTAGTAATACTGATTCACTAGTGTACTTCAAGCGCAACACACTACAGATAGTTATCTCTTTCTGTACCATACGTTCCGTATAATCTGTCGCAGTCGTAGTTGAAAATGACTATACACCTACATGTAAGTACATTTGTAATAACAACGCAACAATTTCTGGACACCGCTCAGTATAAACGTAGTGTGTATCTTTCCTTTATAATATCATTGTTATATCGCCCTTTTTTGTATATATTGTAGTGTTTTCACCATCAGGTGGTTTCGGACAGAATCTGAAAAAAAATAGCGAATTAATTATTATAATAATAATAATAAATTAATACATGCTCGGCATCTTCTTAAGAATGAGCTTTTAAGATTTCTCAGGCTCAGTTTTTTCTTATTCTAATAATATGAACAGAGAAATATATATATTGAAACAATATATGAGCCATTTTTTTATCAACAACACATCATATATAATTTCAATAATAATTACGTTTCGATGTTGATATTATAATTTCTTCTTTCACGATATTCTCGAGCGCGCTTTGATCTTTCAATTTGTTGCTGTGATTGTAAATTCCCTCCTCTGGTCAGCTCTGCGGATATGCTGTTTATTGTTGATGGACCAGCCCTTTGATTCACTTGTGATGATGATGTGCCGACTATAGCATCTAAATCTTAATCACTTTGCGGCTTCAACGGTATTTTCTTTGCTCTAAGTAAGAAAATGCAAATAAGAATTTTACGAGCTTTTAATGGCATAAGTTTTATAAATAAATTAATATTTACAATTTTTTTCTCTCTCGGTATTCTCGCATGCGTTGAGCAGCAGTTTTCGCCTGTCTTTTTGATGACTCACTGCCTCTTTTTTTCTCTCTCCATCGCCGTGTTGCCTCTGCAGACTTTGCTCTTTTTTCAGCAATTCGAATATCTTCTGTAACAATTTCAACTATTGCATCTTGTTCCTGTTGTTGCTTACTTTGTTTTTTAAGCAGTGCTCTTCGTGCTCTGAATTCTCGACCACGTTCCGCAGAAGTTTTTGGCGCTTTATTCAACCTATAATTTCATCATTTTTGTTTAGTAAATTTAGTAAATTATTATTAGAATCATGAATGATTATAAAAATAAAATAAAATTAATTTACCCAACTCCAATAATATGTCTCGGTTTTTGTACATGATCAATAGTGGGATTTCCTACATCAACTTCCATTTGATTATTGTCATGTTCAATCACGATGTCACCAATTATTTGTAATGGTAAACCTCTACAATTAATAAGTAATTTATCATTTACGTATTAGTTCAATTTTATGTTATCCTATTTTAAAAATTTGTTGAAGTAAATTGTAAAAACGCGAGGCCAAAATACGGAAGAGTAACTAGGAAAAGAGAGAGAGAAAGAGAGAGAGAAAGAGAGAGATAGAGAGAGAGAGAGCGAGAGAGAGAGAGCGACACAGAGAGAGAGAGAGAGAGAGAGCGAGCGAAAGAGAGAGAGAGAGAACGAGAGTGCGAGAGAGAGAGCGATAAAGAGATAGAGGGAGACAGCGAGATGGGGAAGCAGAAAAGGACAGAGAATCAAACGCGTCCCAATGTCGAGAATAGGATGTCGCGTGTTAGTAGAGGGAGAAAATAGAAAACTAAATTAATATTTAATCGACTTTTATAATTTTATAATAAGCCGTAATATCTATCATTCTTATTATTAGAATAAGAAAAATAATAAAAAGTAAAAATTTATGTGTTTATAACAAATTGTTTATTAAGTAAACAATGAAAATAAATAATAGCAATTTTTTTAATTTAAATGCAACATAAATTATGATTTAAAAAAATTGGTTCTTTAATTTTAATTATAAGTGATAGAAAAAATTGATAATTACAAATATGTTATTAAGCAATAAACATATTTTAAGGAACGATTATTATTTTAAAAATCATCAATTGCATCAAAGATTAGGCTTCCACTAAAAATTTCAATTATCTAATATACAACGCATTGTTGCCCAGGCCTTTAATGTTTAGTATTAGCATGATTCCTTATTGAAATATTTTAAAATCGATGGCATAAAGTGCTTCTTACGAAGCTTCCTTCCTATGGGCTTCCCGAGGAATGGTGCAATTGGATCACCAGTTTTCTTGCTGATCGGAGCATCAAGGTCGTAGTAGACGGTGCAAGCTCCGATTACAAGCCCATTAACGCTGGTGTTCCACAAGCTATATTCTTCTGCATATCAATGACATGTTGCCCGGTAACGTTCATTGCTATGCAGACGACAGCACTGGTGATGCTTTATATACCGGCCGTGCCAATATCACTCGGGAAAACGTAGCCGAGTACCGGGACAAACTTGTGTCTGACGTCGAGACTTTGTTGAACAAAGTGAAGTGTAAGAATAATATGTATGCTCCTTTAGTTTAGTAAGTAAGTACGCTACTTTATAACCGTATGTATGCTGAGTTTGCACTGTACCTTATATGCATTATTTTAGATTGTTACCAGCGCATTCATTAAATAGTACGTAACTAATGTAGTCGTTTCCTTGAATAACACCCATTAGGAACCCCAACATTACATGGCGACCCTGCCAGGGGACTCTGCCAAGGGGATTGTTACTTTTAGTATAGTTAACATAACTACTTAATAATATATTATAATGCGTCGGTCAACTGTGGAAAAAGAAGAGGTTTTCCTCAGCCAAAACGCGGCTGGAGGCAACAATGACGCCACTTTGAAAGAAATCGGAGGCCACGTGGAGCGGCTTAGCATTGTGACCTATATTGTTCTGGCCATTATTGGACTCGTAGCAGTTTATGTGGGCCTGCGGATGTACAGGAGCTGCCACCGCACATGGATCCAGCAAGAAATTGGGATGAGTACCATGCAGAGAATCAGATCATCCATCAGAGGGCGCACAGAAGGTAACCAGAATCAGTAATTAGAAGTGAATGCATAGTGAAAGTGAAAATAAGTGTTGTGGGTTGTTAATTTTTTCGTAAAAATAATAAATAGCAGTGAGTGAGCCAGTTATGCGGAATCATATTTCATAACGCTATAATTCTAAAGGTGCTAAAACCGCGCGCGGACATTCAGTAATAAGACACCAAACGGAAACAAAAGGCAACGTCGGACTTTTTTCTTCGCATTTATGTAGACATTTGTGCAATTCTAATATTAGATTAAGAATATTATGATTGATATTTTGGAACAAAATTATGTCTGTTTAGTAGAAATACGTAATTATTTAGTAAAAAAAAGGACAAACTAGATATAAGGGTAATGTTATTTCAACTAAGTTAGATCAAGCAAAAAGCGCATATGAAAACTGTTGTAAAATATATTAATTTGAAATCGGCAATAGATCTTTATCAGAAAATAAAACAAAAGTACGAGGAAATAGAGTAGTTTGATTCCAGTAATGGACGGTGTAGAGACCACCACTAGGCGCCTAATAGACTCAGTGGAGATGTATGCTGACATGCTGGACAACCCAGGTAAAGTATTATTAATTACTTTTGTTTTGAAAAGTCGGTTGAATGAAAATGCAAAATTACGAATTGCAAGCTCATACAAAACTATCCAAGAATTAATTGATGATATGAGGAAATATCTTTTACCCAAAAAATCATTTATGGCTATATAAACGAAGCTTCAGAATATTCAACAAGGCTCGAGATCCATTGAGGATTATGGTACGGAGGTAGAAAAGTTATTTACAGAGCTGACAATTACTCAGGCAGATGGAAAAGAGGAAGTATTCTCGATTTTAAAACCAATCAATGAAAGTTTTGCCATAAAACGTTTTTCAGATGGCCTGCGTAGCGCAAAAATGAGCACCATCATCTCAGCACGCGGCTTCAGCAGCTTGAAAGATGCCATACAAGCAGCAAAAGACGAGGAGTGCACGTCTTTCCAACCACCAGGTAACATTTTGTATGCATCTAAAAATGGACGCCACTCGGCACACAATATTAGACGTTCTCAAGGTCAAAGAGGAATTTACCGTAGTCAATATGGTAACAATTACCATTGTGGGCATAAATTTAATAACCACTACAATCAAGGACAAGGTTCTAGCGGAAATGCTAGAGCAAATTATCGTCCTTCATATAATAATCAACGAGGAAATAGAGGCTCTAGATATGTTAGGAACCGTGGACGAGGTCAAAACTCATTTCCAGTAGAAAAAGTAGCTGACACTCATCAATGCGATAAAGACGACAATGCAGGTACATCGAATCAGTTTTTTCGATCCTAAGCATTTTATATTATCATTACAAGGTGATGCGAAATATGTTACTTTTTATATTAAAAACATTAAATACTATTGGCTTATTGATACGGGTGCAACATTGTCAATTATTAAAAATGAAGTACTGCCAAAAGATATCATTGTTAATAGAGATAATACTATAATAAATGGAATAGGTGGTCAGCGACGATCTCAAGGTTCTGTAAATTTAATATTAAAATACGAAAATGCCACGTTTCAACATAATTTTCTTGTTTTTGATTCGCTACCACTAAAAGCAGACGGAATCATAGGCTTAGACTTTTTAGAAAAATTTAGTGCGAATATTGATTTAGGTTCAAATAATTTAACACTTTTTAACAGTAATAAACAACATTATCTACATTTTGTTGATGAACATGATAGGATGAAAAATTCTATGATTATTCCAGCACACTCGGAATCAATTCATTTTATTGTTGTGAATGAGGATGTAACTGGAGTAGTAGTATGCAGTAAAGAGTTAACGACATCCTTTATAGCAAACGCAATAACTACAGTTAGTAATAGTAGAATTCCAGTTAAAATACTTAATGTTAGTGACAAGGAAGTAAACTTGCCATCTTTCACACCAGATTTGAAAAGTTTGTATAATTATAATATTTCTCAATTTAATAAGACCAATATTGACGTTACCAGGGTTAAAACTTTGCTATCTGAATTAAATTTAAATTATTTAGACGGAGAAGAGAAACAATCAATTGAAGCAATTTGTGCAAAATATTCTGACATGTTTCATTTAGAAGGAAATAAGTTAACGACAACTAATATTTATGAGCAATCTATTGTTTTAAAACAAAACTCTACTCCAGTTTACGTCAAGCCTTATAGGTTACCACAGACACTAAAACCAGAAATAACTAAGCAAGTTGAGAATATGTTAGAAAATGATATAATCGAAGAGTCAAATAGTAAATGGTCCAGTCCAATATTATTAGTACCTAAGAAAAGTAGCAAAGGTAATGAGAAAAAATGGCGTTTAGTTGTAGATTACAGAAAGTTGAACGAGGTTATTTGTGACGACAAATTTCCTCTACCAAATATTAATGAAATTTTAGATACGCTTACTGGAGCCATTTATTTTACTCATCTTGACCTTCACCAAGGTTACTATCAGGTAAGTTTAGAGCCTAGTAGTCATAAATTAACAGCTTTCACTACAAATACTGGTCAATATTGCATGAAGCGTTTACCAATGGATTTAAAGATCAGCCCTAATGCCTTTAGCCGTATGATGTCTGTAGCGATGTCTGGTTTAACTTACGATAAATGTTTAGTATATCAGGACGATTTCATTGTATTTGGAAGAAATCTGTCTTCCCATAACAAAAATTTAATAACTGTCATGGAGAGATTGAGAAAAGTAAATTTAAAACTAAATCCTCAGAAATGTGAATTTTTAAAGAAAGAAATTCTTTATTTAGGATATTTGGTTACAGAAAAAGGTGTTTTACCAGATCCAGAAAAAACAAAAGTATTACGAAATTATCCTACTCCCAAAAATGCAGATGAAGTAAAACGGTTTGTAGCATTCTGCAACTATTATCGTAAATTTATAAGAAATTTTTCGGATATAGCAATACCTTTGAATAAGTTAAGTAGGAAAAATGAACCATTTATTTGGTCTGATGAATGTCAAAACGCTTTTGAATTTTTAAGAAATGCTTTAATATCATCACCAACTTTACAGTATCCCGATTTTTCCGAAAATCATGAATTTATTTTACAAACAGACGCCTCGGGTACTGCTATTGGTTCTGTATTATGTAGTAAAGATCTCAGACCAGTTGCATATGCCAGTAGACCCTTGAATAAAGCAGAAAGAAACTATCCAACTATTCAAAAAGAACTTTTGGCAATAGTGTGGTCCGTTAAGTATTTCAGACCATACTTGTATGGAAACAAATTCACCATAATGACAGATCACAAACCATTAATATATCTTTTTGGTATGAAAGATCCGTCAAGTAGATTAC